CGCTTAAATAACGACGGACGAACGTGAAGAAAGAGCTCTTTCGGTTTTCGTTGACGCAAGAAGAGACGAGTGCGCTGCAGCGTCTCGTCACTCCGACAGGGACTTGCTTCCCGCGAGAAATATAGAATTATTGTGCTCTGACGTAAGGATACCTGTCGATGAAAAAGAAAGAGAGAAAGAGAAAGAAAAGACTGTCGCGACTCGACACGCGTAACAATCTTCATTTGCAAAACTGCGCGTCGATTGCGCGTCCCTGAGGTGTGAATCAGCATCGACAATTTCGATTTAAATAACGCTTATCTTCGAGCACGAGCTTCAGCGCCTTCAGCGGAACGTTCACTTCGCGCGATAGCTTATCACAGCACTCTGCCGGGCACTTACAAATCCTATACACGGCAATGGGCGGGATCGGTAACTTGGAGTAACGTAACGCGCGATCTAAATATCGGTTGACGGCACAATGTCTAAATCGGAAGTCGTATTCACACTGGACAAACTGTCGCTCCAATCGGGTGGCGGGCAGTCTCTCAGCGGACTCGGCACGTCCACGGACATCCTGTGTTGCGTGTCGTCTAGTTTACTTTGGATTTGCTTCTCCATGTCGCAAGTTATCGGTTTACTGGACACGTTGTCGCTGTTGTGGTCTCTTCGCGAGGACTGGTGCGACGATTTCCTGCCGTGGTTCATGTTCGCGTTGCGGTGAAGGACGACGTCGCTTTTGTCGCAGTGGTGTGCCAGCATCTCTTCATCGTTCGCACCTGTTAACGCAACGAAACGCAACGTTCTTGAAAATCGCGTCAGTCCCGTGTTAATTATCATTATCAAAGCGCTCGCACGAAACACTCGAGCAAACTTGCCTTGCTTTTGGAAAGATTTGGGTATGAGAGTGTGCGACGATTCTCCGATAGCTAGACTGACGAAATGCGCGGCGGAGTCTTTACTAGCCGCGTTTCCCTTTAGGACGCGTTCCTGAGGCATGCGCTCCACCACCGACAGGGAGATGTCCGACAAACCATGGCCGTCCTCGGTGAAGCTCAAATTGGGTGAGGAGCACGCGGGTCCCGTGTTGACAGGCGAGAGAGGAGGTGGAGAACTCACGCCGCCGCCGCCGCCGCCGCCACCACCGTTGATATATTCCTCCTTCAAGGCGGTCGACTGTTCCGCGATGAGATTCTGAAACTCCCTGTAACGTGTTAAAAGATAGGCAACACGGTAATAAGACGAAGAGGTAGTTTCTACTGTATCAACGAAGGGTACATGAACCAACTTTATCGTATTTCGAAGCTCGACGTTAAGCGTATCCTTGTAGGAAGACAATACCGAGAGCTTTTCCTTTTCTATTATCATGCACTGATTTTTAATGTACCGCTCGCGCGCAAGTTTCGTTTGCTTAGTGAGTTCTGTTCTCAATTCTGAGATCACTTTCTCGTCGTCCTTGATTTGCTGCTTCAGCGTCGACACCGTCTTATCTTTACTCTCTGCTGCCTCTTCCAGTTGATGCGTAAGCGCTTTTATGTGGTTCTCTAAAAGCGTCTGCTGCTGATCAGCTTCCTTTAAGCGCGCATCTTGCTTTTGTATTTGGCTGCTTAAATAAATGATATCTGCATCAATGAGACGCGAGAAAGTGCTAAAGAATTTTGAAGATTGGAATTTTGGAATGTTTATGAAATGAATTCCATAATTTCTTATGTTGTTGATACATCATGTACAAACCTACGAAACTTTTCTCGTTCTGACATCCATAATTCACATTTTGCCTTCATCTGTTCGCTGTATTCCTGCAATTTGATTTTATCCTTTTCCAGTTTAGATTGTATAGACATAATGTCCAATTCCTGCGAGTATCAATAATGGCGTATAATTTACTCCAAGATAAACAAAAAAGGTACAGTGATAAACAGTAGCATACTTCCAGTGCCGATATTCGCGGAGAGAAGCTTATAGGTATTCTGCATAGTATCTGCTCCATCTCGTTAAAGATTTCAATGGTCCTCTTATCTTTTGCAACTGAATCTTCCAATTCTTTCATTAAGAAACATAATGCACGCACCGGATTAAAATCATCAAATCTGTAAAAACCATTATTCAGTTCAGGAATTTGTACAGCTCGATCCTGGACAAGTACAGACTGGATGTTATTCGTGGAAGATGAGGATGATTTTCCACTAATGCAAGTTTTGAGTTCCTCCACCTTCTTTTGAGAAGATGTCCTTTTCGATGAAGCTGCATCCGAGTTTTTACTGTTATGCTAAATAGAAGAACATGAGACATTTGAATTACAAACATAGAGAGCAATGGCATTAATTTAGCTGATAAATAATTGGCTTTTATTAAATATGTGATAAAGTCAAATGATTCAAAAATTCAGCTAAACCTTCTGAATGAATACTAATATGTATACATATCAAATTGAAACCTGTTTATGTATACATATATATATATATATAAGCACAATATATAATACTCACATTACATCTATTTTTCTGCAATTCCTGACCATTTGAACTTTTTTTTACTTCTTTATTTTCTGTATGTTTGGTAGACTTGGAAGACTGCACTTGTTTCATGTATAACAGATTCTGATTTCCAAAAATCTGACCCCAGTTCTGAGGTCTTCTAGAACTGACTGGAGTAGACTTTTTCTTTTCAACTGATCCCTTTTGTCCAGTGATGTTGGAAGTTGATTTAATTGGTGTATTTTCTGATCTTTTTGTCTTATCTTGTTTTTTTACGATAACTTCCACCATCTCACCTACTAACACCATTTCCTTGGAAGGTGAAGTCCTTGTTACATACTATGCAGGACCAAGTAAAAAAGAAAAATATCTTATGTAATTAAAGAGCTAAGATTAATAAAGTAAATGAATTGAAAATATATAAGTATAAAATAACAGTGTGTACATTGAGCGAATATAACCTTTTATTTTACATCCTAAAAGCGCTACAATTTAATTGTCATGAACGTAATATTTTTAACATTTCAAAGAAAAAATGGCAACATCCTAAACAGGTTAACATTATTACAAACATACATGACAATGTTTGCAATTGTTCGATATGTTATTGTTTTCACCTTTGTACTCATGATGTCATATCGATTAATAAATGCATGTTGCGCACATATTTTTATAAATGACCCGTTTGATGATAAATTAAAAAAAGGAACTGCTGTCTTCTATAAAAGCATAAACAAATCGATGTCACTTTAAAATCCAACGACAACAAATCTATCACCCTCTCTCTTTCTTTCTCACTCACTTACTCACTCTCAGTCCCTCCCTCTATCTCTCTCTCTCTCTCTCTCTCTGTCTCTCTCTCTCTCTCTCTCTTTCTCTCTCTCTCAATACTGCAGGCACAAGACGAGATAGTGGATGTTTTCCAACTAAAGCCAGCGGCACACGGTGCTTGTTTTCGTGCTGGATTGCTTGCTAAATGAAAATACTGCGTTCTGATTGGTGCATTTCCGAGGATGGATGGAAATGCACCAATCAGAACGCAGTATTTTCATCCAGCAAGCAATCCAGCACGAAAACAAGCACCGTGTGCCGCTGGATTTAGCAGAGAGGAAGCTGAGAGCGGCCAATACGGCGTTTTCGGCGACACCGATTTTTCGCACTGGAAATGGGCGCCATCTGCATCCATTTTGAGAGGAGAACTACGATGCTACATCCACTTTTAGGTCTTGGTGGTAAAATCTGCATGTGGTGGAAGTCCGTGCTACATCCACTTTCAGGAGGTTTATGTCCGTGCTACAACCCTAATAGTATACTTGACAAGCCGGTCTCTCGCACATTGTTACGCGTTTTGTAACATGAATTAACATGTTAACATGAGCAAAAAAAAAAGAATTGACATTGTGTATGATTAATATCATGAAGATCATACAAAGTGTCTGGTAATTAGCTGCTAACCCGAAGTATAAAGGTAAATTGGGTTGAGACAAATATAAAAGTTCCATATCGTTTTGCGAGATTCGCAATAATTATCGGCGCCCTTTTCCAGTGCGAAAAGTCGGTGTCGCCGAAAACGCTGTGTTAACCGCTCTCAGGTTCCTCTCTGCTTTTTAATTACCTCCGGGCCCTTTAGGGCCCCCTTGGCTGATACGAAAATTTACCCAGGGCTGACTGATAGTCTTTATATTACCTCGTCGGTGCTGCAGGTCTCTGTTAAAGCGAATCTCCAATGTAACTGACAGATAAATAGGCCATTCTTCGTACATTGATGTGTTGAATTTGTATTGATAGACAAATTAATAAACGGAGACAACGCGAGCATTAAATGATTAAAATTTATACAAAATTTTTCAAATTGCACTATGCAAACAAGTAATCACAATCATTCTGTGTAAAATGCAGATTTGTGCCTTTCATTTGCGTCCTCGCACACTGTGGTTCGCTTTCTTTTTCATTGACTTATTTACAATTAAAACAAAAATCATTTTTTCATCTTTGATTACTTACAGGGAATAAATGAATCTGTATATTATATTTTTTAACAAATGAATAAAAAGCCAAAAGGTTCCTGTTTAAGGCTAATTCTACATGCGTCGTACGACAGGCTTGTCGGACGTTCCGATTGGCTGTCAGATAATGAATTTCTAGGGTGCTTAGAGAAAAAATTAGGCATTCAGAAATTTCCTATCCGACAGTCAATTGGAACGTCTGACAAGCTTGTCGTACAACATATGTAATATTAGTTTTACGCAAAACTATTTTATCAGTTACATATTATTATTTAAGTTACTTATCATTTTTGCTAAAAGACAACTTTTAGTTCCGTTATTTTCATTGGTGTTGCAAAGTCTCCGCTACAAGGCGCCACTTGCTGAGACGCTGCAGTCGCGGTACGGTCGCAGACTTTTTTTTAATGACTTTCTGAACGCATCCCTTTAGAAAGCTGAGAGCTGCTGCGCTTCGCCTGCGGAGCACGCCTGCGCAGTAACTTACAACGAAAGACGAGAAATAAAATATACGTGGTGTGACATAAGTATGTCAACAATCGTTGCGTTCAGTGGAGAAAACCGCTCAGTGAGCGATTAGTGACTAAAAAAATACGATTTCACTTAAAATTTAATATACATACCTGTTTAATACCTTGCAAAAGACGCATTCCCATTTGAGGGACTTGCGCTATATATCTATTCCTCCGCTACTGATTTTTCAAAATGTAAGAATTTGGTGCGTTCACGACCACTCAACAGTTGAGCAACTGTTGAATAATTCGTCAAAGTTATTGGTCTGAATGTAAGGATCTAACAGTAAGGACCAATAGTCCTAATCCCTCACTGAGCGGTTTTCTCCGCTGAACGCAATGATTGTGTTCACTTTCTACTAAGCGCTCACTGAGCGTTTAATAACTATTGGTCCTTACTGTTAGATCCTTACATTCAGACCAATAACGTTGACGAATTATTCAACCGTTGTGTAACTGTTGTGTTTTCTGAACGCAGCCAATGATTGTTGACATATTTATGTCATACCACATATATTTCATTTCTCGTCTTTCGTTGCGAGTTACTGCGCAGGCGTGCTCCGCAGGCGGAGCAGCAGCTTCACTTTCTCGAGTGGGGATGCGTCCCGAAAGTCATTAAAAACAAAGTGACAACCTTTGTGTCCGCGACCGTACAACTCAACGACGTGTCATAAATATCTTCTTCGACATTTTTTTATCGCGATAAGAGAGCGTACCTTGACAATTCAACGAACAAATTGGAATATCCCTTCATTTCCAAACCATACGACTTGACGACTGATTAAAGGCTCTTCTGTTTTCAAGTTCCAAACGTCCCTTTCGCCCATCATGCGGAGCAGCCCGAATGAGAGGCGCGTAACCGCTCCGTTGTGAGCGGCCTTTACGAGCGAGCGTAACTATGCTTAAGTATCTAGCTCACGTTCGTTAATTAATGATGAAAGTACGCTTGTTTTACGGTGGGAAGCCGCGGAAAATGTCGTGTGTCCTCTTCCGCACGTGATAGCGCAGGGCCTTGAGAGCACTCGGTGATAAGGATACGAGCGTAGACGAGCGAGTCGCGCGTCTACGGCGACCTCGTCGTTTGAATCGGCGTGGCTTCCTCGTGCGTGGCTCACGTCTCGCCCCTGTAAACATGGTGTTTGGGCTCGTCGAAATAATTGTTTTTTTCCACGAGATCGATTAGACGAGAGCCGATTTTCCGAGCGACACGGCGGGCACGACAACACGCGCGCGTTATACCGCACGAAACCGGAGTACTATGTGATACTCGGCTGAACAGACAGAAAAGATATGGATGCATATTTGCTGCACGGTAAGGCTCGGCGATCTGCCATTAAGCGTTTGTAAATTGACGTTACCGAGGATATTCGCTCAGCAATGAGCGGGATTAGATCGCGCCTCATCAACGGCACCGCTGCGCCCCGCTCGTCCGCCTCGCGGCAGCGTGAAATTGGATAGCTTTGCGCTGCTCTATTCGGCGTTAGCCGCCGTTTGTCAGCGTGAGCTTGTGTCGAGACTACCCGCAGTCGTAAGTGTTTTTCCCCTCTGCCCCCCGCCCCGCCCCCCCGCCCGACGTTCCCGCATCCTCGTGGAAGTTGCGCCGTTATTTGGAAAACGACACGACGAAGATCATCGGGCGAGATAGGCGCTCGTGAGATTACCCTGTCGGATGTTTGCGCGGGCATATCCGTGCGACGCGCACCGTTTACTAGGTTATGGTAGTTTTTATAAATACACACACGCACACCGCCCGACGCACTGCGTGCGGTCGAGACGAATTCATGGTGAAGTTGTTTTCTCTTTCTGCGAAACAGGAAACTGTATGATTTAGCGATAGACTTGGGACAACCCCCGGTACCTTACCATGGAACAGTCAGACACACTACAGGTACAGGTTCTCCAGTCTGATGGGTCAGCCACGAATATTGACGCGCAGGCAATCCATGACGCGGAGATTGTCATCGATCAGGGTGAGGAGGCCGTCGCTGAAGGTGGTGGCCAGGATTCGCCGAGTGTGTGCAAGCAGCAGCCAGAATGCAGTTCACCAGTGGATAATACCGATAGCAATGTAGAATGTAAGTCAGATGATTGTGTAGACGCCGGCAACAGTAATGTACTTGTTGACAAGGTCTGCAGCGATGCGACTGATCACACAAAGTCTGATTCGGTTAAACTGGATGCGGAGACGAGCACGTTAAAGGACGAGACTATTGAGATCTATGAGCATATAAAGGATGAAATGATCGACTCGACTTACGAATCCTTGTTCGCCAAGGAAGACCAAAGCCTAAATGTGATAACTGAATCTAACGTAGTAAAAGAAGAAAAGGAGACGACACACGCGACTGCGAACAATGACGCTAACGTAGTAAAAGAATCTGATGTTGTGGATGAGCAGTGTCCTGCGTTAGAGCAGCCTGCCAGTGAACATTTTGAGGTTCAAGTTCGTGAATCAGTGGAGGAGGCGATTGAGGAGATTCACAGTAACGACGGTAACCAGAATAGCTCAATAGTAACGAATGCTGAACTAACCAAATTAGTAAACGAAGAGACAGAAGTGGTGGTAGTGTTAGAAGAGACCATACCGGACGTGCCGGACGCGCCTGCGAACAATGTTGTTATCAGTGTAGGTGACAAGGACGCTGTCAAGGAATACAAGCAGGAGGCTGCGCTCGCTCTGCAGAAGAATAAGCCTGACCACGAGTTCGCCAACCTGATCGAATACAGCGAGGAGAGCGACGGCACTATAATAGAGGTGATCGCGACGGAGGTCGTGGAGCAACGGCGGAACAGCGAGGACTGCGCGGACCGCAGAAAGTGCGACACGGAGACCGCGAAGCTGACGACCGACGGCGGAAGTGAAGTGGCGCTGAACAAAAGTACAAAAGCCAGTGAGCCGAGTAGCAAAGGTCTGATAAACTCGGTCAGCAAGAAGACCGACGCAGAGCTGAGTACCGCTATCATCGTAGACGAAAAGATTGTTATCACAGAGAACGTCAGCCCGAAGACTGAGGACGCTCACGAGCATTCGGACAAGGAGGCGGTCGCAGCCAAAGAGGCGGGCGCCGCCGACTTGACGAAGAAGAGGAGCGTAATTCAGGACATTTTCGACGACTGGGGCGTGGAGAACACAGACGAAGACGCGCAGTCGACCTCGAGAGAGCACGACTCGGTGGAGATCGAGCTGAAGAGTTTACTGGACGAGACGAAGCCGTCGGACGAAGCCGCCGCGAGTAAGCAGCCTCACCAGCAGGAGGCGGTTCCTCGCGCGGACAAGGAGTGCGCCGCGGACGACGCGCGGTGCGACACGGCCGCCGCGGACACGGCCGAGAAGAGCGCAACGACGAAGAAGTCGGCCGGACAGACGGAGAATCAAAAGAAGAGCAAGGCCGGTGCCGGACGCGACGCTCCGTCGACGGATCGAGCGGCCACGTCGCCGGTCGCCAAGTCGTCGCGCGCGTTCAATGCCACGTCGCATTCCACTAGCTCCAAGAACCGCTCCCGCCACTTAACCAGCCAGATAGCGTCGCCGGCAGAGGTGACGGAAGTGTTGAAGGAGCGTCTGCGAGAGAAGCAGAAGGTCGTCGTGGATGCGCCGCGCACCGCCGACATCTTCTTCGTGAAGAAGCTCACGCAAAGATTGTCCAGTAAACTAGCGGGCAGCCCGATCCCGCCTCCGGCGAACCCGCCACCGTCACTGCCACAGCAACCTGCCGTCTCTCTATCTTCTTCTACGCCCGCGCCGATAACGACGGACAACTGTGATAAGAATGCAACGAGCGAGAGCGCGACGACGGACACAAGCAAGGACGGCACCTCCGACAACAAGGAGTTGTTAGCCATCTTGGAGGGCGACGTCGACCCCGATTGGTCCATCCTCAAGCCACCGACGCTCACCGCGGAGGGTAAAGCACCATCCAACGTGGAGCAGCCCGACCACGGCCCGCCGAAACTCGACCCCTTGGTCGAGCGGGAAATGGCTCTGAAGCAGCTGCTCGAGTTACCTGTCGCATCCTCGAAGAAGAGCACCGCGCGGAAGAAGAAGACGTTCAAGCCAGCCCCCGGAAGCAGGGCTGCTGCCAAGGACGCCGAGTCGAAGAACCCGGCTACCGGGCAGAACCCGAAGAAGATCATCAGCATCGACCTGGCGAAGGAGAACGCGCGCACGCATGTGGGACACACGGAGATTGAACTGGACTCGCCAGTTCACGAGCAACAGGGCGCCCTGAAAAGCGACGATGCTGCCGAGTCTCCGAGCCAAGCGACGCGCGCCGAAGAGTCGAGGTCGGGCAGGAAGCGCAAGCTCACGGAGAAGGCGAGGGAGCACGAGCAGCAGAACACGATAAAACGGCAACAGAAGGTCTACAAAGGTAAGGTGCCAGTCGGCAAGAAGCAGGAGGCCAACGTCGCGGTCAACGACGACGGTCCGGCGACGGAGGCTCCCGCTATAGCGGACGACTCGGAGCTGCAGATGGACGTTGTAAATAACGAGGAGACCGTGACGAAAGAGCTGGCGGACAAGCAGCAGTTCGACGAGAAGGCGGAGCCGGCTCTGAGCAAGCCCGAGAACTCGCCACTGAAGCGGCCGAAGCAGAGCCTCGCGAAGAAGGGCTCGCAGCCGATCACCAAGAGAAAAGTCGTGGTGAAGAAGTTACTGCGGCAGAAGATATCGCCCAACAAGAAGCCCGTCAAGCTGAAAGCCAAACTGACCCCGTCGCCGAAGAAAGCGTCCTCGTCACCGAAAGTGATGCCACCGAAGGCGCAGAAGCGGGCGGCCGAGGGCGCGTCGTCCAGCGACGCGAAGCCCAAGAAGAAGAACAACAACGAGATCGACAGATTGTTGCAGGACGAGGGGGTGGTGAACCTCCTGTACGATGTGGAGCAGCCGGACAAGAAGCGTCTGGTCCCGATCACCAAGTCGCGCGCCAAGGTGATGGATCTGCAGAAGGTGCAGCGCGAGCTGAAGATCCGCAAGAAGCTGGTGCGCAACGCCGTGCTGCGGCTGCGCACATCTTCCGGCACGGTGACGAAGGTGTCGCCGAGGTCGAAAAGGACGGCGGTTCAGCCGAGCGACGGCGCGGCCGACAAGAAGCTGGCGGAGCAAATCGCGTCGCCGAAGACTCCGAACGCCACCTCACCCACGGAGTTTATTCTGCCGGCGAAGATCAGGAACGCCGCCGATGCGTCCATCATAGTTAGGAGGCACTCGTCCAGCTCATTCTCGAGCGCGTCCGGCAGCCCAAGGGTCAGCGTCGACACCCCGGACAAGCCTGCCGCCGAGATCGCCACGGTCAAGTTGGACGACGGTGCCGCTCACTCGCTCAGGTCCGCCAAGAGGCGGCATTCGCAAGACGAGAAGATAAACGTGAAGAAGAGCAAGAAGAAGACGGACAAGTCCGACGCCGCCGTCGACGCCACTGCCGCTACCAGCACCAGCCCCACCGCTACTAACGTCACCACTTCTTCCACTACCGCGACCACCACGACCACAATCAACGCCAACGCGAATAGCGGCGCTGACGAGAAAGCCGCCGCCGCCGCCGCTGCGCGTCAGAGTAAAAACAAGGACGTGAAGAAGGTCGACAAGGCCGCCAAGCAGCAGGAACATCATATCCCAGCGTTGGAGAACAGCGTCACCTCCAGTAAGGTCACTACGAGATCGAACGGCGCGGCGACGGGAAAGGTGACGGCCAAGAGCAAGCGGGCCGTGAAGAGCAAGGTGAGCTTCGTCAGGCCAAGCGAAGCCGAGAATCCTGAGGACTCCTCCAAGGAGGAGGCCGAACTGTCGGCCTGCCTCGCTGAAGCTGCTACCGCTCTCTCGATCGTCAATGCCGGCCGTTCGGGGAATAACGCCAATACCCGGAAGAGCAAAGGTAAAGGTAACGATGAGACATTTACGAATTAGTTTTCGGCTGCGATGTATGCATGTATACTTGGTATGATTGTTGAACCGATTACTCTTAGTCAGTTGGTCACGCAATACACATACTAAGTACCATAAAATATTCCAGTAAATACAAGTATCGTGAAAATGTTGGAATTAGGTAATACCAAAACCGAGGCGCCAGGCCAATTCCGCAATAAGGAGATAAATGTGCGACGGCACGGTAATCTCGTGCAATTGATACTTACGCCATCCTCGTCGACGAGAGTAAGGAACGCTCTGACGTTGCAAGTAAGGTCAAACCCTTCGGTACTCAAGAAGAAGTATAATACCTTGGTCATTTTAATCAAATCGTCTGCCTCGTGCATTCTTAACCAACGAGAGATGTGCATCTCTCTGGGGTTTATATCGTTTCGATCGTGTTCGAACACATTCAAGGCTCCAGCACCCTCGCCGCGGTCACCTTGACTAATGACGAATCGGAAGCGAGAGAATGTGTCCTCAAGATTCTCGCAGAATGCGCAAAATGACACTTGCGACACGAACGTGACGAAATCGTGAAGAAGGGTGTACAGGATGTGCCAGAAAGACGGGCAAACCAGGATCAACTTGATAACTTTTGAGATGATTTTTGAGAGAAATGCTAAGTATGAAAGTTTTAGGGCTTGAAAATGGGCATGTAACTTGACTTAGAGATGAAGTTTGGAGGTCAAATCAAGATCAACTTTAAAATCGTAAAAATGAAAATCTCCATTTTTTATTACATCATCTTTGCCTATCAATTGACTCGAGTAACTTTTGCCTGAAGCATTTTTTCACTTGCCTCACATTTCTTGAGATACTTGAGGAAAACTCGGTAACTTTTGCAGTATTCGGCTTACGATATCTCGCTAACTATTTGTTGTGGTAGGAAAAAGCGATGCTTGAAATTTCCAAGTGTCATCGAGTTGACAAAAGTTAGGTCGCTGAATGTCTACTTGCAAGCCCCAAAGCTTTTGTATTCAACATTTTTTTCAGAAACGTCACCCTTTCGAGTTAATATATGGTGCTCATTTTTCTGGCGCACCCTGTATGTCGCGTTGTTCTCACGGATGTCTATCGATTGCGCGAGCGGAAGTAAGTTCTCGGGATGCTCGATCGATCGCAAGTGCCATCTTATGAGCGTGTCCTTTCACTTCAACGCATCTCGCGAGAGTCTGCAACCTGCACCCTCTCGCTTCTGGTTAATCAAGAGCTTCGCGGCGGGGGAAGACGGGGCGCCGAGTGAATATCAAACAACTGAATAATATTAACATCTGCGTCCGAGATACTTTTCTAGATGCGTGCTCCGTCGACCATCGACGTCTCTGCGAATCCTTACACGCTTTGTTTCTGCCGTCACCAGGTGATGCAGGAGTTCCGAGACGCCTTGTCGATATTGAACAGGGACGACAAATGTAGGGTAGTACTGTTAACCGCTACAGGCACGAGTTTCTGCGAGGGCCTCGAGCTCTCGACGTTGTTACGCGCGAATAAGGAGGAACGCCGGTCAGTCGCGCAAGAATTAGCGCACGCCGTCAAGTATGTATACACTCGCAGCGGCCACGTGATCGCCGATAAATCGCAGCTTATCGAGCTTGTCGTTTCAGGGAATTCATCAAGAGTTTAGCTACCTTCAGTAAACCCATAGTAGCCGGTGTGCAGGGGGTCGCGGTTGGACTCGGTGTGACGATGTTGCCCTTGTTCGACCTCGTGATCGCCAGCGACAAGGCCACGTTCTCCACTCCTTACGCGAAACTGGGCCAGATCGCCGAAGGAGCCGCCGTCTACACCCTGTCGCATATACTAGGCAGCCCAGTCGTAAGCATTGCGCGTAACTATGGTAGATTTGACGAGAAGCTGAACTAACGCTTGTTTTCCCGACGAAAAGCTGAGCTAAGGCTTGTTCTCTCTCCCTTTCGGCAGACGAGTGAGCTCCTCTTGGGTGGTAGAACCCTGACGGCCAGCGAGGCGCTGAGAGCGGGCCTCGTTACTCGAGTTTTGTGGCCCGACCGATTTCAAGTAGAACTGTTACCGTCGCTGCGGACCATGGGCGAGCAATCGTCACAGGTGAGTTACGCACAGCGTATGTCTTGGTGGCAACGTTAACGGGAATTGAGTACCCTTCATTGACGAGTTCCCTTCATTGGGGTTTGTCGAGGTAGTTTATCGTTGTTATCATTATGGACATACATTCATTTGTTCATCGCGGATATATTCCGTTGCCGAGCTTTGTTACTCTGCGTTACGTCGCGTTAATCTGCACAATAATTACACACAAGTGGCGCAGCCAAGCAGACTTCTCTTCGGACTCGTTGAATGTCGAATCTCGCAGTGATGCCTCTGTACCTTCACGAGCGGTAGCAGTAAGCCATGTAAGCGGGCCCAGAGTAGAGCAGCTCTTGCACGTTTACTTCTGTCTTGTCCTTGAAGATGCACAGGTGCCTCTCAGGGCATGTGCATCTATAATACGTCGAATACAGGTCAGCTCGTATGAAGCCGCAGAAATCCAGTGTCTCGCACATTCTCTTCTGCGTTAAACGGCAATATAACGTAAAGATTAAACCTGGTAATTTGTGTGGGTGTTCGCGGCGCAGAGAGAGAGAGAGAGAGAGAGAGAGAGAGAGAGAGAGAGACTGACTTGACTTGGTTCTCGGCTCGCTGCGGCGTCCATCGTGGATTCGTTCGAGGAGACCAAATCGAGTACGGGGATTAAGTATACAGAATGTTTCAGGAAAGACTGACCGCAAGCCGTTATGTTCTCATCGAGACAAACTGAAAGATTATTATTACAAACATGACACCTAAAACGCTTAATTGAAAGGTTCATGTTGAGTCAAGATGAGAAAAGAAATTAATTTTAACGTTAACATTGATATGTACAAATAATCTTTATTTAAAGGGACTTTAGAAATTAAAAGAGAAACAGGAAAACAAAAATCGAAAGAGATTGTTTTCAAGTGACGTCACAGATCAAGTCAAGTCAAGCGTGAATTTAATAATTTAAATAAATATTGTATGTATATTGCGTTAACATCTTGATTCGACATTCGACTTTCAACTGTATGTTTGTAGCATTTAGCTCTTCTGTCTGCCTTGATGAGAAGAGTACGACTGCACAAGTCAGCTTTTGAAACACCCTGAATAGATATGTATACTTATATTGCATAATTACAATTATACACAGTTGTATATACGAGTAGCCCCTTTTTCAAATGTCCGAAGCCTAAACGAAGGTCGCAAGAAACGCGTTGCTCGAAAAGAAGATGTTCCAGACAAAAGTTGCCTGGTCTCAAGGAGTCTCAAGACCGAGAGAACGTCACCGTTCTCTGACCTTGCTCAGACTTTTCGTCTGAAGCCTTTTTTTGAGTTTGACTTCGGGCGGACATTTGAAATGGGCCACCCTGTATGCATACAATACATCGTTATCTTGCAAAGTGCTGAAGCAATTCCTCTCCTTGTGCATAGTGGCACACGCCTGACATACCTTGACACACCTGAACACCTGAACGAGACCGTGCTCCTCGTACGTGTATTTTTGCAACTTCCAGTAATGCGTCTGCGGACACACGCAATTCACCGTTACGTTATATGGTATAATGTAGCTGTTGCTCGTATCGCCTTCTCCATGCACTATCACCGCCTCCTGCCTGTGCGCGCATGTCTCCAGCTCCACTAGTTGCGTGCAAAACTACCGAGAAACGTGACTGGTTAGAAAGGAGAGCATGGAGAAGGCAAATTGGCGCGTCATCGCGGCGCTCTCCGGGCGCTCTCCGAGTCGCCGCCGCTCGTCCGGGCGAGCTGGCCTTTTCGCTACCTTGAGAAGCGACTTGTTGTCGAGTATCGCGGACGAATCGTCCACAATTTTCGTCCACTGCCACGGACACTCCCTCCCGTCGGGACAACGGCACAGTCTTTCCGTCAAACCGGACATCCAAAACCGGTCGTGGACCACATTGCATACCTCGTGAGATTCACAGAGATGTAAATCGCTCTCCCCCTGAACCTGTTTCAACGAGTTCAACGGACCTTCGTCAGGCTGTCGTGCACTTGCCAGGGAATTAGTTAAGCGTTATAATTTCGCGAATAATACGAACACCTTTCATATACTTGAACGTAACATTGCTAGCCTTGCTGCTGATTGTCGTGTACACGCCGGCCGCCGCGCTGATTGCGGTGACGAGCAAGCAAACCCCGACCAACATGCTTTTTACATGCGGCTTTACGCTAAACGCGTCAGAATTCGACTGTCACAGGCGCACAGAAGTATCGATATATCTCAACGCAAGCGGAATCGCTGATGCATTCTCGATTCCACGTTTGCTCCCACATGACTCGTAATTACGAAACTTATTAATATTTATGACACTATATGCCGTTGTCTTCGGCTCCGCGTTCGTGGAGCGTACAGAGGTGTTGCAATATGCGTAGCAAATCCAAATGCGGCGGCAACATTCCGCTCTCTCGTTTTGCACAAACAAACAAATCCTCGTCTTTTCCCCAGTCTATGGAGGCGACCAAGGCTCTGCTGCGTCACAGCCTACGGAAGAAACTAGACGCCGCACTTGAGTCGGAAACGTACTTGTTGATCCAACAATGGTGTTCTGCTGAGTGTCAGACTGCTATAAAAGCTTATATTGATGGGAAGATTCAGTAAATGATGGTGAGTACTCTCGACTCGCGCCAAACGGGAACGTGGCGCTGCGTCGGTGTACCGCGATTGTTCTCATAGTGGATGTTAATTTCAGTGCAACTACTATCGATATATTGTGACCCAACAATCTGTGTTAGAAATCGGAAATGACGATTTGTGAATAATACAAATATATGTAAGGTCAAAAAAAAAATATACTTCTGGTGTAACATTCTACGTCAACGCACGATATTTTAGATATAAGATATTGAATCACTCTCAAAACAGATGGACTATTTTACTATTAGAGATCGTTTAGATATAAATTTATTATATATATAAAATATATATATATATATATATAAATATATACAGATACTTTTCCGCAGTATGTTATTATTGTTAGATTAAAATAAAGGTACATTCTGTATTGATTGTAACTGTATCCTCGATGGTTACTAAACTTTCTGGCTTGCGAAAGGAAAATGTTTTCAACATTTCTGCAAGATATCAATTCTAAATAATAAAAATATACGTCAATTTTTTTGATTTATAATAAGGTGTCCGATTTTGTAAACGGCCTTGTAAGAGATATAAGAAAGGAAGATTCAAAAGTTGTTAATTTTTAACTCTAATATACGATACTCGTTTTATATGATAATTTTTAATTTTAATGTAATAACTCTACACACATACACACACATACATGTGATGAATATAACTTCAAGGAAGGTTATCTTCCACACATTGTTAATTTAGTCAAAATCGGTAGTAATAAGAAGCATTGTGATGTAACCAGGAAGGACTTCAGATTTCATATTAGCAAACTTCATTGCTCAAATGTTAAACAAAGAAAAACGTGAAATGAAAACGAAAGAAATATTCATCCATGAATTTTCTTCCATGTAAAGCGGCATATTTGTACGGGTGAAATATTTTTGTAAAATTGACAAGTATCTCTATCTAAAAATGGCAGCAGCGTTGCAGATGCCGTGTACGTTCGAGTTTTCCAGAGGCAATGGCACCGGCGTGGCGGAAGCGATCGGAAATTGGGGCTTCTCCAACAGGACGTGCAACGCCGGCCATGAACTGGAACGCATAAAATGTCTCTTCGCAAAAATGGACTCTTTGTGAGAAACGAGCTTTAATCTCCAAAGTTTTTCTCTCAAGATCTCTAAACCGCACAGCATATTGTTCTCTGTGACATACTTGAAATAAAGTCAAGTCAACATTTCACATTTCTGTGTCGTCGAGATATTCTCGTGTCATGCCAATCAGCACCGAAAAAAAGTAAGTGGTTACGTTGGTGAATTTCAGACGCAAACCGTCCGCCAAGCCAATGTGCGTTAAGTACGATTGCAGATACGATCCTGAGGCTTGGCACGTCAAGCCTAGTCCCGAGGAGTGCAAGCCGGCGTGGACGTTTCCTATAAAGAGACCTCTAATTATTTATTCCTCCACTTCCACGGTTATAAAGGTCGCCAATTTGACCAGCGTCGGGGCGGAGTTACACCATGTTACACCGGGTCGCACTTATGTTCAACAAGGCGTACGTACACGTTCTTGCCGAATACGCGCCAATCGTCTCATACATGCTCAAGTGTAGAATATACCACTGTACGTTGTGTCCGCTTTCAGACGTCGAAGTGGTACCGGCGTGGTCCGGACGGTTGCTGCCAACCTAGTTGTTTAGCTCCGCAGTGTCCTGTGCCGTGTTGTCGAGGATACACTTCCGCTATTGATTAGTCGGTGAATCCGTCAAACTATTTTCTCGAAATCGCGGCGTGGTGATCAAGTATATTCCTCGCTCTAGTTGTGGCATATATATATATCTATCTCTCTCTCTCTCTCTCTCTCTCTCTCTCTCTCTCTCTCTCTCTCTCTTTCTATCTCGTCGTGCTATGTGCTATGTGCATAAAAGAAAGAAATAGGTAACGGAGAGATGTGCGAGGATGCGAGTGGTGGTGCGATTAATAAATGACCGGTGAGGTCGAGTTCGACAGTGGTGAGGTCGTTCAATTTATTTTTCGTTTTAACAAACACAGTGTTCCGAACCTTTGCGCATTGCGTGAACAATTAATTGTATGGTGGGGCGGCAAGTGATTTCACTGACTGACTGACTGACTGACACTGCAAGATTCTTCACTCTGCGTCGTGTACATATCGATAAATGCAGTATCTCTAAATACGCTGGCGTTACAACAATGTACACTAATTCGAATCTCTCGAGTAGAAACTGATCTCTATAAGGTAGCAGTTTACACGATTCTAGATAGAGAGGAGCCCTGTGCTGCCATTGCTGACGACCGACTACGCACGAGGGGAAACCTCGTTCTTCTATCTCCTGCGTGATTCTTATGTACAAAACAAATGTATGTATAAAACTGAATCGATATTACGCGAGTCAATGATACAATATAAATATGAAAAATGTACGATTTTGCGCGAGTCAATAACACATATGTTGCGCGAATTATTAAAAATATATACTTACCGTACCTTAAGCAAGTAATATACACATGGTAATATGTAAATTAAGACTAGATAGAATATCAGAGATACCTTATCTACTTCTACAGCCAATACAGATCGAGTGTGATCGAAATTACAGCTCGTAAGCTAGTTGTCTTAACGTAGTAACACGCGGCACAATGACGGCTGAAAGCGTACTGGCAAGAAGAAGAGAGCACATTGCATCCGCTGACGTCGATTCTGTTTCTGCATTCTCTTTCTATTCCTCATCCTTTTCAACGCACTCGCCCTAAGTCGGGCATAACACTGAAATCGCAACAGCAGTCTCGTTAGCGCTTCTTCGAAGTTACGGGTCGACAATTGGCGGTTTGCAGCTTCGAGTAGGATTCGATAAGGGTTAACTTGAAGATTAAGATCTCTCGATCAGAGAATAAAGGCGTTTTAAAAGTTCAAAAAGGCTCAAACGGGCAATTTTATGTGTCAAAGTGCATGAAGCGAAGCTGGATTGAAGCTCGTTACCTTTGAGTATATAATCCGTCAGCAAAGTGGGTACAGTTGGGCTATCCTCGCTAATGGCTTTTAATACTGCGAGAAAAATGATTATTAACGTGTGTGTACATTTGGGCATATACGAGCGGCGATCGTTTCTATCGAATAACACTTACTTTTGATAAGTACTTGCAAGGCTTGATTATTCGGCGGACCGCTGTCCGTATGATATGGGATAACAGTCGTCAGGTACTGCAAAACAAGAATTATATTGTTTCTCCTTCGTTTCTATCTCGGCCGATTGCGAATTAATGATAGCGATATTACTGAAACCGCACACAGAGAAACGCATACTGCATTCAAGCAAATATTACTAGTTCCACGTATTTCATGCATTCACGAATTCATTGCAAGTTCAGCACAAGCGGCCGATTGACTCGAGATACATTCTGAAGCCTACAAGTTTAGAATCTCGGCCAAGAGTTTTAAATTGAAGCGAGAAAACTCGGTTTGCTTTTTTCTCCGTATAAAGTACAAGTTTGGGAATATTATATTCCCGAAGAAAAAAAGATATTCTTCTCTCGAGCGGATGATAAGGAGCTTTCCGAAGTTCTACGACGAGATTAAGACTGATTATCGGAAAAAAAAAAAGAAAAAAAAACGTTGCTTATTGAAGACAACCGTTGCTCGAAAGAAGGAGAACAAAGTTGTGAGTAATCGCTGTCCTCGGCGGTAGAACGACACGTTTGTCCGTGTGCGTGAAATGTAGCGCGTAAACGCGTAATTCGACGCAACGGTGTTACGTTACCTTCGGCTCCTGCAAAGACCTATGCTGCGGCAACGGACTAGTACCATTCTGCATTTGATTCCTCTTCTTCGTCACGTGGTGCTGCCTACGTCGATTTTGCACAGCCAACAGCAGAGAGATAAACTGATTCTTCAGCTCCTTCTCGTACTCCAACTCGTCCCTGAGCGCGAGCTCGGCGATCAGAGTCTCGCTCAAGGCCGCGACCAGGGACTCCATCTCTCCGAGAAGCTCCGTCAGCTGACTGGACGAGAGTTGCTTCAGTTCTGAAAACACACACGTTTCACGCTCAGTAGCCTGCTCTTCCTTCTTTCAGGTCTCGGAAGGACCCGGTCCAGGCAGCGAGTAATTTCGAGGCATACTTTTCTCCTGCAGCGGCGACCCGAGCACTTCTCTGCTTCTCTCCAGCGCCTCGTCGCTGTCCAGTAAGGAACCGTCTGAATCCGGCGATCTTTCCATCGATGGACTCTCCTGCGGGACGACGAGGAGATTACAAGCAGCTCGTCAAGTCGTCAGCGCGCCGACGAAGGATAACTAACTATCGCGCCATCATTACCTGCATTATGTCATCTATCTCACGCAGAACCTCCTCGGCGGTCTTCAGCGGTTCCTCCGGGCTGTGGGTGTCGGTGCTGCTGGATAAGATTAAAGCATGCATGTCCAAATCTGTCGCAACCGCCTCATCTTCGCTACTTAAATCCTCTAGCTCGGGTCTACAGCGAACAGAACAAAAGCATTGGATTTAAGCGCGCTAACGCTTGGACGTGTCCGAGCGGACGTGTCGGGCGAAGAATAACGCTCCGGATGGCACAGTCCTCGGATGGCCTTGGCTGTATCCGGGACGCCTCGGAGCACTCGTCCAGAATCGTCCCCGGGACGTGCCCGGGACGATTCTGGGACGTCTTGTGCTATCCGGAGTACACGTATTTTTTTTCTCTCTCTCTTCAGATCTCGCACGATCGTTTTCTCGTCTTTAGCGGATTAACTTGTTTCTGCATAGCAACGTAAATCTCCGACGAAAGTGACCGGGCGAGTATTCACCTCTCCGTCGAAGCGGGCGCTTCGTTCAGATTCAGAGCGGGCATGTGCATCTTCCTCGCGTAGGACTTGCTCCAGTCGATCGGCAGGATGTTTCCGAAAGTCCCGGTGATGGTCCACCACATCCTGCAAGGGGAAACTCGACGTCAAGCACCAGCGGTAACGTTGTGCCGAGGAAAACGCTTCGATAATCTAATACCCGTATTCATAGTCAGGCCTTATATTTGAGACCTCCTTATATCCATTTTTAGATGCTGCACGGATTATTTTATTGGCTACAGACCAACTGAGGATTAACTTAAGGAAGTCTTAAATATAAGGCCTGACTATGAATACGGGTATAAGACGCGGTCTACGATATACGTAGCGAAGCTTCAGCTGCTTGCTTCAAGTTCTAAACGCTCATATTCTAAAAGTTCCAACAATTCAGGTTGTAAATATTCATATATCTTTCAACCTCTTCGTCTCACCTTAAAATTTAACCGTCGAATTCAATCGACGCCCGAAGCTATTTAATTACGCGAAAATTTAGCAAGGTCTTGAGTAGATTAATTCAGGATACAAAGGATCAAGGATACAAAGGACTTCAGGCAGCGGCGAGGGTTCTCCGTGAAGAATTCGGTCGCAGCTCTTAGCTGACAGCAGAAGGTTCATCACCACACCTGCTCGTGGATCAAGACTGATACGCGACCGCTCTGGCCGCGGGGATGATAAGGCTATCGCGACGTTATTAACACCAACGCAGTAATTAGCGGCGTCAACGCTATTTCTTCCGAGGCGGCGTTAGCGTTAGCGCGTTTGTAAGCTCCCGAAACGTGTTCGTTATTCCACGTACGTAATGGCAGTCTCGCGGAAGCGAAGCTTCGGGGTGCTGAGGCTGGCGAGGAGCTTCGCCTGCGACTCTCATCAACCAGCGCCGTTAGAGACGCGAACCGCTGGCGGGCTCGCTAAATGACACAACGGTGCGACGCAGTAACGTCAACGTTATCGCGCTGGAGTTATCGCCGTCAATTTCGCGCTGTACAAGCACTCTCGGTAGCGTTAACAGCATCTCCTCGCCGAAAGCGCACTCCATGTGCACAGCTGTGTACGAGGGTAGAGCCCCAGAAGTACCTGACCTGACGTATAGATAGCGGTTGTTGTTCGAAAAGAATGACTATGGTAGAAAGTACCAAGCTTGTAAAGCTTAAGTTTGAAGTTTGACGACGCTACGTTGTTTAGTATTTGTTTGGCAGTCATCAATAGTGAACGCTCTCAGTGAATTTGTAAACATGGAAAAAATTGCTCATCGTTACGTGATACAATACTTTCATTTGAAAGGCCTCAGGTCCAACCAATATCAAAGCGGAGCTAGATTCTACTCTGGGGGGGTCTGTTCCTTCGTTTACAACAGTAAAATATTGGGCGGCAGAGTTTAAACGAGGCCGTACGAGCTGCCAAGACGAACATCGCAGTGGTCGACGAAATGAGGTGACCACGCCAGAAATGGTGAAGAAAATCCACAAAATGGTATTGGATGACCGTCGACTGAAAGTGCGCGAGTTAGCAGACATGGTAGGTATTTCAAAAAGTGCTGTAACATCGCATATTGACTGAAAATTTGGACATGAGGAAGCTGTGCGCAAGATGGGTGCCGCCGATTGGAACAAAAACAGCGTCGTGAGGATGTTTCAATCGAGTGTTTGGCGAAGTTTCGCAGCAATAAAGCCGATTCATAACCATGGGTGAGACATGGGTCCCCATCACTTCACACCTGAGACGAAGGAACGGTCCAAGCAATGGAGCAAGGTGGCTTGATGGCTATTTTGAGGAGCTCGACGATTCCCACCATAAACAGGGTATCGAAGCTATTGAACATCGCTGGGGAAAGTGTATTGAGCTAAAAGGAGAGGCTGTGTAGAGAAATAAAGATATTTTTTTCCAAATTTTTTGTGTTTTCTTTGTTAGGTCAGGTACTTCTGGGACTACCCTCGTACATCTCTCGTCCGCAGCCGCGCGTTAATATCGCGCGTTAGTATCGCTCTCCTCTTCCTCGCGCGAACACACGCGCGGGTGCGTTAAATCCTCCCGGGGCTGGCTGACTCATCTCCTGTGTTTATCCTGCCATCAAGGAAAGCGACTTCGCTTCGATTCTTATGTCACACAATGTACCCTCCTCTCTCTCTCTCTCTCTCTCTCTCTCTACACGCGTCGTCGGCTCGCGATAACGACGAGCGTGAATCAGCGGCGTTCGCACGGAGCTCTGTCGTAACATTCGCCGGCCCTTTAAAGGCCGATTAGCCGGGGAGATGTCGAGTAATTTTAGCACGAAGGACGCGTTTGGCGAGCTATTACACGCTGAGCGTGACGCTTGATGCGGCGATCAATAAGCGCGGATGTTCTCGGGCAGGGCGGAAGGGCGGGGGGGGTGATATAATATGTCGCGGTATTGTGAAATAACGCGCGATCGCGCGACTCCGGCGGCCGGAATCTCTCGCTCGTCGTCGGAGAGGCATTTGGGACACATTTAGGACACATTCCGTACACAGCCGATGAGACTGGTAGAGCGACGGAGACAGAGAGGGAGGAGCGGGGGAGGAGGGGGGGGGGGAGCCAGCCCGCGGACAGTCTTCTCGTTTTCTGGGACGCCGCATATGAATCATTGAAGCCGTGGGCGTTTCCTGCGTTACGAGAGTGCATGCACGCGCCGCGTAGATAGGACGTTTAATCCTGCGCAAATAAAACCTGCCAGTCAGCCGCTCTCGCGGAGGAAGCGCGATTTTTCACGCGGCCGCGCCGCGCCGGCCGGGAACGCCGGCCGGCCTGCCGGCCGATCGGCGACGGAGAAACCGGGGCATCATCTCCCGCGCCGCGAATTTGCGAACAATGCGGCGTGGGAGTCCGCGCAAAACGGGGCTCGAGCTCGCCGACGTAACGACCTCTAATTAACCGCTCTTACGCTAATCCCGCCCCTGCGCCCCTCGCCCCGAGAACGAGAGCGCGCGAGAGCCCGTTCCCTCGCGATTCTCTCGCGATCGATAAATCGCGACGGCCGCCGGCCGAATCTTTCTCCCGCGGCCGAGATGCGGTGCAACCGCGCTGACGACAACGACGACGACGATCGCAGGCGGGCGCAGGTGCAGGTGGCGAAATCCGCGCGGCCGCACCTGCGCCGAGCGACGCGGCCCGAAGCGGTCAGCTGATGAGCGAGCCGGTTGTTCCAACTTGTCGGTAAGTTAGCTGATAAAGTGAAGTCATCAAGTCTGTCTTTGTTTCTCCTTCAACCTAGACAGAGGCGGACAGAGGCTGACTAAGCTGTCAGTTAACTCACCAAGAAGTTGGGAGAACCACCGGGCCCGAGTGTCGCATTCGCCGCGGAAAAGACGCCGTCGCCGACGGACGCATCGATCGGCCATTCGACGCCGCGGGTTAACGAATCGGGGTCAACTCAGTCTCCACTTGAGTCTCTGATTAACGCGAAGTGGCTCGATCGCCGGCGCGGCGACGCGCAGGGCGTCTCCGCGCGCGGAGCTGCCGCGTGAATTTTCCCGGCGAGTCCCCTCGCGGCCCCGAGGCCCCGGCCGGGAGGGGCCCGGGGAGCTTCCGCCGGCTGAATTCGCAGGATCTTCCTTCGATCGACGGGATAAACGCGTCGCCTTCAGCGTCCGCTCGCGCCATTCGTCGAAAATCAGCACGCGGCTTCTTCCGCGCTGCCGTATAGCTTCCCTCCCGCAAATTCGCCCCTGAGGTCGGCTCGCCGCCGCGGTCGAGGCGCCTGCGCGCCGATATTGACGTTCGTCCCCTGCTCGGCAGGGTGGTGTAGCTCGATACGAAGGAAGGAGCAAAACAGAGATTAAATTTTCATGCCGAGCCGGCGTCAAAACAGCAGCAAGAAACGCGAAGCGTCGCCGAATATCGCCGAGGATGCGGCTCCCGGTCATTAACGTCGTTGAAGCGACGTCCACTCCCTGTCCCCCCCCCCCTTCCCCTCCTCTGCCTCTTTCTTTTCTTTCTCGCACGTTTGCGCGCCGCGGCGGGGCCAGCTCGACCTGAGAATTCGCGAGGCTTGTCCTTCCGCGAAGGCAAAGCCGCGCCGCCGTCTGGCAGGATAAACGCCGCTTAGTCGCTCGCGGTTAGAAAGTACGGGCGGAAAAATTGCGTGGAAATTGCGCGGAAATTGCGCGTTGGGTCGCAACTGTATGCGGCGCGATGTATGCGGCGCGGCGGCACGCTCTCTGCGAGAGAACGCGTGCATTCGCATCGCCGCGCGGCGGCTTTGTCGCAATCGCGGGTCGATGGCCTTATTAGTCCGGAATAGAGGACGTTCCATTTGGATACTGGCCGCGCCGCCATCCCCCTCGCCGAGTAGCAGCCTTTAATAATGCCGCGCGCACGTACGTCGCCGATCGATGGCACATTTGAATCGGAGGGGCCGCCGAGAGCCGCGCGCAGGAAGCGCCTTTCGGCCGAAAGGAAAGAACCGGAGCGACGCTAATTGATTTTCGTTCCTCGACCTCGATTGAGTCCTTCGCGACGACCCTTTGGCCGCCCCCCGCGCGACGCGGGCGCGGCCAAAGCGTGGCCGCTCGCGACTTGCCGCAGGATTCTTGCGGAAAGAAGCTCGAGGCCCCGTTCTTGGCACTGCCATTTTTTATAAAATCCATAAAGCACGCGGACGGGACAGAGCGACCTCTGTTAAAGGTCTGTCGAGACCTCTTCCGTCGTGCAACACACACGCCCGTCCTGCTGTCGCAATGGCGGCCGTCGCGGGAGGGTCTTCTCGCGACTTTCTTAAACCCTGAACGAGCATCGTGCGTAGAATACGAAGACGAAGAACGTAGAACGCGAGTTCCACGTGGGGCCCGGCGGAAGGGCTCGCGGAACCTTCGAGGGCTGCGGAAAAAATCAGCGAACCGATCGAAAAGCGCGCGATGCGTCCACACAGAACGGCCGGCGCGGCGGGGCTCCGATATGAATTTAACGGCTCTGTGCGTGGCTGCGCACAGAAGATGAGACAATTTCGCGCTTCGTTGAATTTCACCTGCTCGCTTACGCTCGTTAGGACGCGCGTAACCTTGCCTCGCCTCTGTGTACGAGAGAGAGAGAGAGAGAGAGAGAGAGAGAGAGAAAGGAAGCGCGTTGCGCGACTGTCATTTACACCCTGGGACGAAAATATTTGTCACGGCGCGCAAGCGCCCACCCTCGGCCTCGGCAATCGTCAAAAATCTCCAACTGCGAGTCTCCTCGACTCGGAGTGTCGTTGATCGCCGACGGCGCATGCGAGTGTTACGTTCTCGAGGCTTGCGTGAGCACGACGTGCGTGCGTCAGCAGGCGCTTTTTGCGAAAGAGATGTCCGCGAGGCAAGGCTGCCGCGAAAGATCCCGTCGTGCCTTCTTAGGAGATACGCGAGCTCCGCGCTGTCGCCGCGCCGCGGGGAATGAGGAACGAGAGAGCCGCTGGGAATCTCGAAGAAGACGCGCGAAGTCCGGCGCGGATCGGAAGAAACAAAATTCTCCTCCCTTTGTTCCCTCTGAAACTTCGCGCCGCTGAATCCGAAGATGGCTGTCTGTTTCTCCGGCTTCGTCGCAGCTTCCGTCGCGATCGGTACGTTTTCGCGGCTATGGGGAGGGGGGGCCGTGAGGGGGGGCGAGAGATCGTGTCGCCGATCGTCCCCGATGATAACTGGGCCGTACGAAGCGAACCGTCAACGTAGGAATCCCGCAATTAAGACGCACTTTTCGCTCGCCGCGCCGCGCCGCGCCGCGGCGCGAAGCCGAGCGGAGTGGCGACGCCGCGACTCGGCCACTCGGAGGAGAAAGCTGCAAAGCGTGCCGTAAACATCGCGTAGAGAGGCGCCTAGCTGCGCCGACACACTTCTCCGTGCCGGGGAATCGATACCGCTCGCGATCGCCGCCGCTGGCGTGCAGAAAAAAAGAAACTCCATTTTCTTTTTACCGCGCGGCTCTCCGCTCAAATATACTCGCTGCGCGCGCGCGCGCGAGAGAGAGAGAGAGAGAGACAGATCGAGAAGCGTTCGTCTCGGACGCGACTATACCGTCGCCAGCGAGGAGACATCATGACACGCGTGCGCACGCACACACACACACACCACACACACACACACAGGCGAGTCTTTGCTGATTCTGGCATAGCCAACTTGTGCGAGCACGAAGCGGTTGAATCACGCAATTAGCCGCATAGACGAGAAGACACATGCTCTCGGGTATCATTAGGAGCAATTCGAGCGCGAAGACTCGCTCATTAAGCAATATTCAGAAGAATCTGACCGCGACGAGTGGACGCGGTGACGCACGGTCAAGTACGCGATCGCGAGCAGCGTGGATTCTTTTCCGTCGTCTCGTCGCGCCCGCCAGCCGGTTCCTGAAAATTATTTCCTTCGAGCACGTAACGAGGGTCCTGCGAGCGGCCGCTTCGGCCGCTAACGCGCCGAGCCCGAGCGCAGCGAAACCCTATACTTAATCAGGTTGCACTCTCCTCGACGCTGCATTAAACGGAGCAGTGGGTGAAACCGCTGACGTGCATTGGCGGAGCGGAAGAGCGGCGGAAAGAGAGAGAAAGAGAGAGAGAGAGAGAGAGAGAGAGAGAGAGAGAGAGAGAGAAAAAAGACGAGTCAGCGAGTAATCGAAACGCGATGGATTACTCGCGGACCGCAGACCTGCAGGCAAACATAGCCCCCCCTCCCTCTCCCCGCTGCCCGTTATTGCGCGCTGCGTTACGCATTACGACGAGCCGGCAATGTAGTAACAGCAAACGCGATAAGTGATTATTTCCGCGACGAGACAATTACTGGTTTCGGCTGCGAGCTGACTCCGCCGCGGCGGTGCGGCGAGGCCGGGGCACCGGCGAGACGCGGGATTTGATTTGGCCGCGTTTACCCGGCAATTTCCCAGGACGGGCGTCGCGCGGACGCGTCGTGCTTTATTTTCCGGAGCAGCGGGGAAACCGGTATGCGTGTGCCGGTAATCGGTACGTTGCGTCGTTACGCGAGCCGAGAAGCGTGCAGGGACGCGCTGCCATTTTGCGGCGGGATTAATTGGGGTAATCGCGCCAACGAGACCGATACTCTCCTCTTTCCTCGGCGATCGATCTCGCAGTGTCATGGCGGAGTCGCCGCGCGGTTGATGACATTAATCTTCCTTGATGGACATTTATTTGGCCTGATGGATATGCCGGCGAGATGCGTACGCACGGGAAGCGTTGAGAGAGAGAGAGAGAGAGAGATACGTTAGAGAGGCGATGACTCAATCCTCGCGCGCGGCGCGGCCGGGGGATATCGCGATGACGTTTGGCAGCGGTCTCGCGATTAGCGTGTGTAGGAAAATAAATGTACCTTATTTCTAATCGCGAGACGAGATTCGTAGAAAGAATGAAAAGAAGGAAAAGAGAAGAAATGAGCCACTCACTGGCACTCGTTCATGATTTCCTCCTGCGTCCGCACCTGCACCGGAGCCAAGGACTCGACGTCGGTGCCGTAATCGCGGAAGCAGGACGTGATCTTCTCGTCGAAGGTGTTGACGAGGTCCTCGAGGCTGCCGCTAAACGGGCTGAAGGTGCCCTCCTGCAGGATGTCGGTGCCATTCTCGTGCGTCTTCGCCGGCTCGTTCGCGTTGCAATTCTCGCCGAAAGTCGCGTCCAGGCTGGCGTCCAGCAGTTGCTCTGCGGAGTCGCGAGAACGATCAGGGGTTAGACAAATTCACACCTACGCATCCGAAATAGCCTTCCCCACGCGGATTCCTCGTTCCTTCGCCGGACGTTCCCTCGGAAAGTGCCAACCACCGTGAACCTCGAGCGAGAGAGGAAAGACGGCTAATTTTACCAACGGCCCACCTACGGAGGTGAGAGATAATCTCGAAGCTGTCTCCTCCTCTCGGCTCCGATCCGGAATCGATTTCTCCCCTCGCATCCCCTGCTCTATCGCGGCGGTATCGACGAAGCGCGGAGATGATGAGCCGAGGTCACGACTGCTGACGCGATATCGAGCGTTATCGGACGTGACACCGATGGACGCGTGTCGCGTCAATAAATGCACACACTTGTCTCTCTCTTCGTGTTTGCGAAGCGTATAGTAGTTGCGAAACGAAAATATCCCGGATTACTTGCAAAGTAGCGGAAAAATCGGAGAATCGCGTGAGCCGATTCGCAGGAGAACAAGACGCCAAGTCGGGTGCAAACGTGACTGCGTGGCAGTTGAGGGCTTTCCTTTCAGGGACGAAATCTGCAAAGACAGCGACGATCTGTTTACGCCGTTTGGTGACTCAATGTCACGGCCTGGAGAGAAGCCGAGGCGAGGATCAATTACAGCGAGAGAGAGAGAGAGAGAGAGAGAGAGAGAGAGAGAGAAAGAGAGAGAGAGCCAGCGATGCCTGGCTCTCTCGTGGGCGTAGAATCGGCACACCGCAACGGGAGAGCCGGGGGGGAGGGGGGGGGAATCGGCTGGGAGGCCCAACTGGGCGGCTCGCGTCGAGGGTCACGCGAATAAACACGGCGAGCAGGAGTGATCCCTGCGCGAGCCGGGCGACGAAGAAGAGCGAGCATTTTTCGGCGTCGCACACGTCAAGGCGACCGAACGACGAAAATAAATTCGTGCGCGAAGAAGCGAGGCTGCACCGCGCGGCTGCAGCGGTCTAGGTTAGACCAAGCCGGTCTTTCGTCGTCCTCGGGAATTACCTGGCCCGCTTGCGGCTCATCAAGATCGCTCGCGGACAATAAGACGACCTGCCTCTCGGCGATCCCCTCGTGAGGCTGCGTCACGTCGTCGCAAAGCCGTGAGCCAATCGTAACACCTGGCCTGTTGTGACGCCTGAGGAGCACGTCAGGTACCGCCGGGATTTCTTTCGACCACGCAAGCTCGCGACAGAGGACACGAAGGACGACCGAGCCGAAAATCGATCGATCGGCAAAACTTGGCGGTAACGAGCTCCGCGGGCCGAGCACGAGCTGCCGAGGAACTTTTTGAACCAGCGCCGCACCAGTGCGCGACAAGTTGCGGAGCGGAAGAAAGTATACACTTGCTTCGCCGTGACTTGCTTCGCGCGTTAACTTCCAAAAACAAGCGGGCCTCCGGGAATGCAGGCGGAATTGCATCAGCCGCGTAGCGTGGGCACCATCGCGCTTGAAAGAGCGAGCGGGATTAGACCAGAGCAAAGGAGAGAAGCAACCACCGAGAAGCTGACGTTAAAGCGCGCAGCGGGGCGCGATGTCTCGGCCCGGCCGGGCAGGTTCGGGCCGAAACGTCGCGCCAGCGGAGAAGAGAGCAAAAAGCAGAGAAACGCCGCGTGGCTGCCCGCACCTGTGAGGAGATTCATGTTCTTCAGGCTGGCGGTGTCCTCCTCCTCGAAGCGCGCGAGGGGTGCCTCGAACTTCAACTCGGCGATCTTGCCTGCCATGTCCCTCATTATTGAGCGTGAGGGAGGACCGGGCGCGGCGGGACAATTCGCGGCGTAGCTCCCGCGATCGCGTCGCGCTTCCGAGGCCGCCGCCGCCGCCGCGCCTCTCTCTCTCTCCCTCTCTCTCTCTCTCTCTTCTTTCTCTCCTTATCCGACGAGACCTCGCGAGCGGCCGAGCTGACGAGGAGTCGGCCGAAACATGAAGGAGCGACCACGCACACCGCCCGGGACTCCGCGCGATAACCTCTGTCAACACACGCGAGCGAGCCGACTGACGCGGAGTGCGGACGCTGACGCAGAGGGGGTTACTCCTCTTCGCTGTTCCTCGGTGGCCGTGGTGGTGGTGGTGGTGGTGGTGGTGGTGGCGGTGGCGTCGGCGGCGTCGGCGGCGTCGGCGGCGGCGGCGGCGGCGACGGCAGCGGCGGCGGCGATGGCAGCGGTGGTGGTGGTGGTGGTGGTGCTGGTAGTGGTGGGTCATGGTGGGCAGCTGTGGTGGTGGAGGCAGAGGTGGAAGATGATCGCTCGTCGCCATGGCAACCGCTGGCTGAGCGCGCGCTGATGTCACGAATCATCTCTCTTCAGGGCCGGCTCTATCGCTGGAGACCGGCGTTTATCATGGTTATCTGGATAGAATTATCGGCAAGCGGATCGGTCGGATAAGGTTCTCTGCGACGTCGAATCCCCTTTGTCTAGAGAATACGAGTACGCATGATCCTGAGAGCTGCATTGTTAGGCTGAAGAGGGAGTGTTATTTTTATGAAATGACCTGAGACTACTGAATTTTTATTCTACGCTGCTGGGAATGTGTGAAATGCTGAGGTATTTGTTTTCATGTTGCAGACGCGAGTACGCGTGGACTGCGTTGGGAGTCATCCCAGGAGTCTTTGTCAGGGACAAAGTGCTGAGAAGAGTTTGCGTGTTTTTCGTCGTATCTTTATCTGGCTGATTTTTAAATCATCTCAGCACATGACAACGCTGCTGAAGACGTTGTCACAACTCTCCTTACCTTTCCCGTCCCGTCCGATGGAACTGATGTGACATTTTACTTTGCCTAAGTAAATTTGCTCCGCCGTGTCAGCTGTTTACGGATAAGATTGGAGTGTGTAGTCTCCCTAACGGGTCCTCGCGTGCCCCGAAGAGCCACACACAGCCACGTGCGCCGTCGTATCCTCGTTGAAGCGACACCCACGGAATTTCCTTAGATAAGCTCCCTACGCGTTGCTACGCGCCTCTGATCTCACGTCGAGCCTGGTTTGTCGCAATGTTGCTTCGCGACAGGTCGCTCAGGTCGCAGGAAACATACCATTGGGTATTGAGAAAGATGGCTAATTTATCACAAGGCAAACTTATTTAGCAACGTTAGTCAGTAATATAATCTATCGGCGAGCACATGGCATAAACAGCTTTTTGTCAAGCATGTCGATTTTTAGCAGACGCTTTCATAAAGGGCCCAGAAACTTGCTCCAGATCTGGTGTTGATGTAACCGTACCTTAATTGTGTACGGTATTGCGACACGCTTCGTCGCTCTTCGAGTAGAATACAATCTTGCCAACGAGGTGGTAAGATGTCGCTGTGGGTGGTGAAAGCTGCTGTATTGACGCCGCAAAAAGGAGATCACGTCACACGAGTGTTGTCATAAAGAAAGGATAATTATTGGAGTTTTTTTTCGTTTTGCATCTTTTCTCGTTACGCCAGTAACTATAATTAATGACAAGAAGATGAAAAACAGGATAAAATTTTGATGGGATGAAAAAGCAAAATCAGAAAATGAATGTAAGATTTGTCCACGGAGGGTAACGATGTGATGATACAGCTAATAGTGCGGCAGTCGGTAAAGACGATAATGATTGTTACCGACACTCAATCGGTAGAACATAGAAAATTTCCTACATTTCCACATGTTGTGCATCGCAGAGTGTGCGATAATAAAGCTTTTTATCGGAGAAACAACGTGTTTGTCAAGTATCAAGATATAACGCGGATAATGCAATTCGCACATTGCAATTTGCGATTTAAGTTAAATCGAGTTAAATAGAAAATATTCTGTCTAGCCTTTTGCAACTCAAAAAATTGAACGCAATTAAAAATTATCGATAACTAAAGTAATTTCTCCTCAATGTCGAGATACAAATAATTCTCGACCAGTGTTTAACTGTAAATGAAGTTTCGTCAAATATATTGCACCTTGAAGATGCAAAGGAATAATTTTTGCAAGATATGACTGTGAGACCTGAGATTATATAATATGCAACAATTTCGTAATTATTTATTAGCCAAGAGACGATGTATCATAACTTAATTACTACATTAGTGGAAATGTGTGCGGGATGGAGGAGAGGGGAGGGGGAAGGTAGGAGTCGAGTAAGCTGGCTCTGAAAGAAAAATGATAGACTCCGATAGACTCGTTAAATACTCGAAGTGAGCTAATAAATGTAAATGAAACCTGGGTAGTGTTATAATGTCGCAACAAAGTACACGAGAGTTGCATATAAAAGAAAGGTGATTAACATTCAAGCCGAGTTCGAAAAAAATGCGCGGTCTGATTTTTATTCTTGGCGATCGTAAATCATATGTTTCGCGATGCATGTCGCGAGGTGGAATAACACGGAAAAGGCGTCGCTCGACTGCAGCGCGTAGTATGCGATTTTATTACATGCTCTTGCATACCGACACAGGTGTAACAGGTGCCGTTCGTCTTCCGTAAAATCCCGCGCGACAACATGAGCCGCTCATGTCGGATCGCGGTGATCTTCGCATCATCCTTTTTGGCGTTTTCCGAAAGAAATACTCCATACCCGCCGCGCAGTGTCCGCTCTTTTCGTTACCACTTGTAAAAATTTCTGCGAACCCCTCGTTAATTTTCGCTCGATTAATTTTCAAATGCGCCTCGAGACGACATATGGTAGCTGCACTGATAAAAATCCCAATGTGACGAAGGAGGAAAATTTCCGATTGAGCTGAGAGAAAGAGACGTTGAGATCTCGATCCGCGCTCAAAGGAGATCCCGAGGTATCGGCGAGCACGAAACTGAACGAACGTGGCTCGGTCCATTTTCCTCCAAGGCGCAGGATTACTCACACTCGTAAATTTCGCATTCTCCGCGGCCCGCCGTAAGCCCTAAGCGTGGCCAACGGCCAATCTCCGTCTGTTATAAACTTTTATCGTCGTATTGGAGAACAATTCCACTATGGCTTTGACGCCGACTCGTGTCTGTGTGTGAATGCAGGTGGATTGTGTGTATGCGTGCGTGCGCGTACGAAAAGAAAGACACAAATGAGGGATTGTAGTCAGCCTTGGCATCGCACCTCTCGCAAGATAAATCGCTTTGTCAACGCCGGACGATATTTTTCTTTTATAAAAATACCATCGAAAATGCTCTCTCTAGGGATCCTAGTTAATCCCTGCGTTTTGATTAACAGATTAATCCCCAGCGCTGTATAACTCGCGCTTAAACGCGGTGTATTAAGAAAAGTTTGGATCTTTGGAAGGAAGAGAAACGTGGCGAGGGTTGAAGGTAAATTACAACCGCGGTTGTAGTGTAGTCAATGTTCAATTATCTCGAATAAATGCCTGCGAACAGCCAATTTCTGTCTGTCTCATTCCTCGCTAATTTATCGCGATTGAATAACAATGTACAGATATGGTCAGTCGGCAGATCCGCGCTGAAACTGCGGAGACGCGTCGCACGTCGCACGCCGCACGTTTTTCTTCACTGCAAAAAGTCGGAATAAGGAGGAACACGCGCTAACAATAATATACGATAATACCGGATGACATTATCGATACATAATGCATAATAATCCGCTGATACGCACGACTGAGTATTAAATAAGGGAGAGATCAAGCACACAATAATAGACATTCTGGAAAATTGTCAGCAAGTACTTTATAAGTGTAGAGTCAAAAAGATGTCAAGAGCAAAGCGTAATGTGCATTAAACGCTCGCATAAATTCCCGTCACTCTCTCTCTCTCTCTCTCTCTCTCTCTCTCTCTCTCTCTCTCTCTCTCTCTCTCTCTCTATTTTTTCTCTTTTCCTCACATCGATAGAAATAATTTGCGCCTTGATCTCTGCGGAGTGCAATTGAACAGGAAATTGTACAGAACTCGCGAGTGCTGGACGAGATATCGCGCCGTGCGAACCAGGTTGTTTTCGCTTTGCTGCGTACGTTAATTGCGATTGTCGAGGCGCAAACTATACCGCGATTATCGCGACCGTTTTGTTTGCAACAACGTCAATCGATTGCCACCGGCACGATCTCGCCGATCGAGCGCGCTCTGCAGTCGGTTTAACGTCCGGGGTGTCCGAGAACCGTTGGTTGGAGCAACTCGTTTATCGAACAGGCGTATGCTTTTTAATGACCGTTTCGAACTCGTGATGAATTATGCATTTGATCCGTTCTGCCGCGGAACAGTTGCTCGAATAGCTAAAGCGTATCGAGAGGTCGGCGATTAGCGGACGGTAAAAAATAATAAACAGCAGAGATGAAGCAGACATGTACTTGCGTCGCGCGTTAGTAGACCTATGTGAAGTTAGACCCCGACTTTTGATAAAAAATTTTTTTTTGCATAAAATTGCGCCAAATTGTTTGTAGAAATATGTAGTGGAAGACTTTTCGTTTGTAGTAAAAAAATAAAAAAGTTACGAGGGGTTGAAAAAATGGTCAGCCCCCCGAAATGGGGGGCTGACTTAAGACCTGACCTAATCGAAGCCAAATCGTTTGTAGAAATATGTAGTCAAAGAATTTGTAGTTGCCCAGGAAAAAAGTTACAACCCCTTAAGTTCTAAGGGTAGCTATTTCCGCCCCGTCGTGGGGGCTGACTTGAAACCGGTTCTAATCGACGCTAATGGGTTTGTAGAAATATGTAGTGAAAGAATTTTCGTTTGTAGTTGTCCAGTATAGAAATGGCAGCAATTTTTGTAATAGGGGTGATTGTATTTTCAACCCTATTAGTCGGTTTAGAACGCAACTCCCCTGATAGGGTTGAAAATACAATCACCTCTATTACAAAAATTGTTGCCATTTCTATACTAGACAACAACAAACGAAAATTCCTTCACTACAAACCTCTACGCATTATTTGGCTTCGATATAGTCGGTTTAGAACGCAGCCCCCCTAATAGGGTTGAAAATACAATCACCCCTATTACAAAAATTGCTGCCATTTCTATACTAGACAACTACAAACGAAAATTCCTTCGCTACAAACCTCTACGCATTATTTGGCTTCGATATAGTCGGTTTAGAACGCAGCCCCCCTGATAGGGTTGAAAATACAATCACCCCTATTACAAAAATTGCT